TAAACGATTTATTAACTTGAAAACGTCTTTGTTGTTTTGCGTAAATCTTGGCAAACGACGCGGCGGCCATTTTGAAATAGATGCGCGACGATGAGTTTCGTAAAAATTTAAGTTAATGTTTTAACTTTTTTGATTTAAATATTTGCATAACATTTAGATTGTAAGTTAAAGTAACCATTTGATAAAAAATTATAATAAATCAATTATTTGGTATCAAAGTAAAAAGACAAAGTAATCAAATTACGTAAAAAAATGTAAATTATTTCCATGTATATTACTTCAGAAATCATTCAATAACAATAAATACCGAAACGAATGTATGGTAAAAAAATATTTTTTACACATTGAATAAAATAAATACAATGTTTATGCTTTATAATTGTAAAGTTGCATCTGCACGGAATTAAAGAAAAAATTAACTGAGTAGCCTATGTGTTCTTCCATACTATGTTCTACATCTGTGTCAAATTTCATCAAGATCTGTTGAGCAGTTCCGGAGATAACTTCAAATAAACATTCAATATAATCTCCATAACCCGATGGTCAGAGTGAATTGTTGCGAGAAAAAATACGTTGCCATTTCTATCAAGGTCAATTACTTAACAGACGAGAACTTCGAGTCCGTCAGAGACTTGTGTAAATCAATGAATCAGCGACTTTTTGTAACATTTTTTACAAAGAACTAAGGCATAAACATGAGGACTTACATTAAATTGTGTGTCAGAAAATATATATTTGTTTCTTTCAAAGATTAATTACTAAAAAAAAAAATAAGTATGCTTATGGCTATTAATTAAAAGACAAAAAAAATAAACAAGATTGTAAAGAGGTTCTTCTATTCTTAATGATTTAAGATGTATTTAACCTCTAATAATTTTAAATCTTCAGCTTTGATACGCGCACATTCGACCTTATCTGGCTGGGGGTAAACAATTAAACAATGCCAATTCTGTAATGAAAAACAAAACTGACGACTTCTTAATGCAATTACCTAAAGCATATTGTTTTGAAAAGATTAATTAAATTAATTAGTAATCAATTAATTTAATTACAAAAAAAAATCACTTTAATAACATATTTCGTGCGCTAAAATATTTAACTACGTTTTTAAATTTAGCCTGTGAGTAAAAACAAACAATTTTTCCCTCTAAACGTCTTATACTATTAATATAGTATATGTAAAAATCCATACACAATTAGCTGTCGCCCGCGACTCCGTCCGCGCGGGATTAAAAATAGATGTTGGCCGATTGTTAGACCTACTCAATATGCTCAGAAAATTTCATGAGAATCTGTCAAGCCGTTTCGGAGGAGTATGGGAACGAAAATTGTGATACGAGAATTTTATATATAAGATAACTCTATTTCTTAATTAAAAAAATAAAAAATTACAGACTATCAGTAAGGTCCATTTTCACTAACACTTCGCGTCAAATGCTATTTTATTAATAAATTCACTTTTAGTCACGAAATACATAAATAAACATAATATAATTCAAAAAATTCACGGACAATTCTAATAATGTATGCAAAATAATTTCCGGACGAATCAATGTCGGATAATGAACATGGTTCTTAATTTTAAGCAAGTATTATGAGATTCAAATTTCATGGCCGCTCGTCATTTGCTTCTAGCAAGTGGGTGCATTATGGTCGAATGAAATCGAACATAGATGACACATCTGTAGAGGAGAGTCACATTTAAAGATTTAAAATCTGGATGACCGGTTTTTTGGAAATTATATTTAAGTACGAATTACTAATAAAATGATGAAATATGAATAATATTTTTCGATATTACCGATAGAAAAAGTTTATGTTTAAGTTGATTATTCGATAAAACACGAATAAAATCACATATTCTAAAAATGATTTCTAGCTAGATCGATTTATCGCCCCCGAAACCCTATATAATAAATTTTATGAAAATCGTTGGAGCCGATTCCGAGATTCCAATTATATACAAAAATTGCTCATTTAAAGATATAAGATATGACAAATAGCCTTTTCCTTGGACTAGTTGAGATGCGTTACGTTTTGCGCCGAGTTACCATAAAGTTTGGATGAGACTATACATTTTTTAAGTTAATACCAAGGTTGGCGACATATGAAATAGTGTCAAGGTGTTCGATGTCTGTAATATATGATCAAAAATATAGGCAGGTCTGCCAAAAAAATCGGTTTAATAAACGAACACACACACGGCTTTTATAAGCTTATACAGTTAAATACACTTGAAAAAAATATTAATTTTTTTTAAGAAAAAATATCTTTTTCCGCAGTGGAAACTTACGATAAAACGAACAGTTGTAGAGCCCGCTTTAACACCTTTGCACGAATTGGCCTGGCACGCCCGGTGAAATACCACGACCACATAGAAGACAGGGGTGAAGTGGAAGCAATTCCGCGTTTCGTCTGATGACAGTGTGTTTTGGAGGCTTAATCTAGTCCCCTTTCCCTTCCCACCCTTTTTGTTATAAGGAAAGGATGGGAAGTGGAAATGGATTTTCCGGACGAGAGGATGCATGGAAAGGGAAAATATTTTCTTTCTGTGCATTCTCTCCTCCGTCGATTAAAGGTAGGCAACGCATATGCAATTACGTATGTCTATGGGCAACGGTCACTTCTCTATTTCAGCGATTTCAGGTGGCCGCTCGCTCGTTTGCCACCTTTTGATATATATAAAAAAAATAGACAAATTCTAAGATGTATATGTTCTGATGCAAATTTATCAAACACGTATTATACTGATAAATCTTTTCTTATCGGTCTCATAACCACAAATCTTTTAGTGTAAATCCAAAGGAATATGAAAAACGATCTACTTTTGATAAAAAAGAGAAATAAATCGTATTAGTATTGCATAGGGTCGTATTTCGTATGGCAATTTATTAATACCGTGTAAAAGAATAATATTCCCCTTATGCTAAGCGCTACCATTTCTTGTATATGCTCGTAAATCAAATGACAGTAAACAGATGACGCTTTTGCCGCTTTTTTTAAGGAAATGACGCTGTCGATAATCGACTCGTAATGCGGTAGATTTTTTTTTTCACAACCGAAACATATGTAGTATATTGTTATCCCTTTCAATCGCTTTGAAAAAAACAGATATAACAGTTTTTGTTTATATGTTTCACAAAGTCCAATCTTTTATAGAACTGTCAACCGCTTGTTCATTAATTCTCTAACCATGAGTTTCCGAGGTCAAAATTTCTGTATAAAACTTACCGTCATCCCTGTTATTATCTTTGATAAAACAGGGATAACGATATGTTTTAAACAGGGATTGGCCTCGGACGTACGAGAGTCGTTTAATTGCCACTGAGTACATTTTTGTAGCTGCAGTAGAAGAAAATAACTTGGCTTCTTAAGTGGGCATTATAGGACTCTGTGTGCCATAAACTTGGACAAATGCTATACATCTTTTGAACTACTCTACGATAATGTTTTTCATATCAAGATAAATCATTGCGCTCTGTTTCCACTGTTCTTATTTCGCACCAAGACGCAATTACAAATTATCTGTTGTAACTAGATGTAAGTGACGTAATAATGACGTAAATGCCCCGTAGCTTGCGGAAATAAAAGAGCATAATAAAGTCTCGTTACTTGAATGCAGCTAAATTGCTTAACTATACGGTAATATTCTGTCCATGGTGAATTTAAAATAGTGCCATCTATCGGTGAAAAAACAACATAAAATTTTACACTTATTTTTTTATTTATAATACTTTTTTGAATTAAATTTGTGTACAGCCAGTTTTTATAAAGACTAAATTTATACGAAAAATATTGTAAAAAGAATGTTATAAGTTTTTTGCATTAAATTCAATCACGAACCAATGAACAGACAGTTTTTTATATCACGCCAGATTGTTGTCAACATATTAAAATGAATATTAATGTGTGAGAGAGATGAAATATTAAAATAAAGCAAGACGAAAACAATGTAAAAGTGGGACGAGGCATTAAACATATGACTTAACGAGCGTACATGTTTCACCTTGAACGAAATTCACATAATGCAATATCCTATATGGTCAAACACCGTAGTCATTCGTGTGTACGACCAATTAACAACGTCTGTTTTAATGCATACTATTTTATATATTAACGTTAAATTGTAAAACATCGTCAAACAAAATTATCTTTTTTTTTATAACAACACAATTTTTAATGTTTTACTTAAGTCTTACTAATATTATAAATGCGAATGTTTAGATGGATAGGATGTTTGTTTGAAGGTATCTCCGGAACTGCAACAGATCTTGATGAAATTTGGTACAGATGTAAAACATAGTTTGGAAGAACACATAGGCTACTCATTAATTTTTTTTGAATTGCGCAACGCCGGAGTCGCGGGCGAACAGCTCGTTTCTTTATATAGTTATGAAGGATAAAGTAGGAATAGAAAGAAACAGTTTTATTTATATTGTAATTCAAAGATAATCAGGAAATTCTCGATTGCAAGTTCTATGAGAATAACTATCTAAAATCGATAATTCTTAATCGATTTTACACAACCAATACCTGGTTGTCCAACTAATCTTAAATAGACACACTATAGGTTTTTCTAGTTTTCACTTATAATTACGATTCTTTTTCTTTTTATAATATTTTACTTGTAAAATAACAGTAAAGTTAGGAAGAAAATCCGACACTGTGGCACAACACTAGCCTTACTAATATGTCGACGTTTATGTCCCTCACTAATCATTCTGACACTTGACTTTGTAATGAAAGCGAGCCATTCGCGCCAAAGGATTCTAACTTATAATGTCTAAAAATAGATACGATCACTTTATAAAATGTTAACAACTAAATCTTAAATGTAATAAAAGATTTTATAAAACATAAAAATTTAATAAAAACCTTTTTCTTTTAAGATTTATATATCTATTTAATCTAAGTGAAACGCTTTTAGAACGACTTGCGTCCAAGATAAATTGACCTCTGTGTGTAATCTCGTAATTTATTAGGTATTTAATAGTACTTACGCGAATGTAAAGTGTGATATCATGTTGATACGTCCATTTATTTTTCATTGAAATCCACACCCTTTCTTATTTATCGCCGCAAATGTTGGAAAAACCGTCTGGAAATAATTACGTATTTGTATCGGAGTTTTCGCACAATTTATACTCGGTTCTCAAAAGTTTAAACAATTTATATTAAGATTTTGTAGTCTAGTTAATCGTTATTTGACAAAATTCTGCTGACGTTATTTAGTTAAAAAATAAAGGTAGTCGAGTAAATTATTTCAAATATTTTATCATTGTTTTTATCAATTAATAATTTTGACATGTTTATTGTATTAGTTTTCTTACCTTTTTCTTGTTAAAAACTCATTTCAACACTAATATGTTAGTTTAAATATATGATTTTAAATTCCGTATCTTTTAAGAAAAGTCACATTGTTAACAAAAATTATCACTATCCACAAATTTGCATACAATACAAAGTTCCGTTTCAAAATTAAAAGTAAACTTGATCTTTGTAACTAAAAATTAGTTATTTACACAATTTATTATCAAATTTTGTACTATTCGTGACGTTTTTTTTACTGAAATTGCGTCATAGATGTGAACTGTCAAAATTATTATGACGTAATCCGTTTTACGCAATTACGTTTAAGTATACGTGAACGTTCCTTTTTTAAATTTATAAGTCATGTTTCATTTTATTTTTATTACTTCATTTATTTATATTAACAATGTAAACAATAATAGCATATTAAATATAAAAGTAATAGATTGTGGAAGTTTCGATGAGTGTGCGTCCCGGAGGCCTAATTTAGTCTCCTTTCCTTTCCTACCCTTTTTCTTATAAGGAAAGGATGGGAGGTGGAAGTGGACGTTCCGGATGAGAGGATGCATGGCATTGTTTCCTTTCTGTGCATCCTCTCCTCCGTCGATTAAAGGTAGGCAACGCATATGCAATTGCGTATGTGTATGGGCAACGGCCACTTCGCTATTTCAGCGATTTCAGGTGGCCGCTCGCCCGTTTGCCACCTTATGATATAAAAAAACATATTTTTTTATTTTAATTCCGTGTCGTCAAATTTGCAGACAATGGCCAGTATTTCATATCCATACTCCTTTGAACAAATACGTAACCTATTTTATAAATATTCAAGAAATTTTTCATTTTTTAAATAATCAATTTATTGTCTTGATAAAAAACTGACTCTCGTCAGCTAAGGTCTTCATTGTAATCATCGCTTTGAACTCACTATTAATCTTAAGATATAAAAACACGTCTGAGAATCTGTATTTTTCCATTACCAAAGTACTTTAACCCGTTTTTATATGATCCGCGAGATACAACATATTTTTTCATATCAAGGCAATGACGTTAATAGTTTTTTAGTCTATTGCACATAATGATGATTACATATTTTTTTGGTTAGTACATGTTCGAACCGTCGAATAGTTATGTTATTTATTATAAAGGTTTTTTAATCCAAGGATAATATTGACTCTGAAACTACTCAAAAAGCTTAATACCATACGTGAATAATTCGATCTATCCTCTGACCTTGAATAAAATATTAAATCGAAAAAGAAATATTACAAAAATTTAATAGTTTTATAAGTTTCTAATAGATGGCGTTGTCTTGAAGATGCGTTATTTATCATCACGTTAATGTTTCACGTTAACATTTTTTATTGTTGCAGTAACAATGCCGGCGTACGACAATGAAGGCGCCACCATATCAATGGAAGATGTACGGAATATAGAAGAACCTATCACTATTAGTACAATAGAAGAACAGTTAAATGCAAGAAGAATACGTCAATTAAGACCTCAGAAGTCAACGATAGCTTCGAGAAAGCAACAAGCGGTGTGCGTACGACGAGCTCACAAGAAGTATGGACCAACCAAGAATCCTAATGTCATTCTTGACGGATTGAATATGACAGTACCTAAGGGAGCTATGTAAGTGCATTTAATTCACATATTGGCGATTCATACCAGTATTAGAAAGTCAAATTAAAACTTGAAATACATACTTACTAGTATTTGCAATAGTTTTTACTTCAGTTGTTTTACAGTTTAGATAAATAAATAATTCGTATATATGATTTGATAAGGAATTAGCAGTCGCCCGCGTCTCTGTTCGCGCGGAATGATCTTTCAGAATGTGTTCTATATGTATGCCAAATTTCATCAAGATACGTTCAGCCGTTTTGGACATACCTTCAAACAAACATCCATCAATCCATCTAAATATTCGCATTTATAATATTAGTAAGAAGTAAGATTGTTGTATAGATTTTTATTGATCTTTTATTATTCATGAGCTACGTTATTCGGAAACAAATATTTTTACAACTAAATTGGAATAATGTCTACATAATTGATGAACAAATAGATGTCAATTTGCGGATGGTCAAATAATAGGAAGAAATCAAATATTTGTGATGTTACGTTAATATAAAATTACGCATAACTTTAGATATTTAGGTACAAAATCATAGATGGCTTAACTCTATTATACTAGCTTTTTCTAATATACCCACTGTTGCGTATAACATTGTCGTACTTCTGTTTACAGTTACGGTCTCCTTGGAGCATCAGGATGTGGAAAGACGACTCTCTTATCCTGCATCGTTGGCAGACGTCGACTGAACAGCGGAGAGATATGGGTACTGGGTGGAAAACCAGGTGGACCCGGCAGCGGAGTACCAGGGCCAAGGATTGGATACATGCCTCAAGTAAGTTGACAAAAGACATGTATTTAAAACTGGACTGTTAAATTTTTACTCTCGTCCACTCCTCTCAATTGATGTTAGGATCTATTCATAGTTATTGACTAGCGGTTGCCTGCGACTTCGTCTGCGCAAAAATGTTACTTATATGCCTATACAAGCATCATCTTCCTGTCCAAAATCCCGTTAAAACTGCCGTTCCGGAGATTTTCCGGAAACTGACAAACGGCCAACAATTTTAAAAATTGTTTTTTTTATCAACAACGCAATTACATCATGTGTACGAAATATGATTTTTTTCGACAAACAGACACTCTAATTTTATTTATATATAGATTATTATGAACTAAATTTAAAAATATAACATAGTTGGACATCCTAAACAGTACGTAAGACATCAAATATGTACTTATTTGTTAAATATTATTATTTTGTCATTGCATTGTCTTACCTGTTATGTAGATATACTCGTAAGTTGACTTGGACATGCTTGGTGAAGCACAATGATCTTTGAAGGCCACAACAATGCGATTGTATCAAATGTCAACTGTGAAATTAAATTAAAATTATAATTGAATTTGAGTAAACTTTAAATATACAGATTTTTTTAATATTATAAGGTGGCAAACGAGCGAGCGGCCACCTGAAATCGCTGAAGTAGCGAAGTGACCCTTGCCCATAGACATACGCAATTGCATATGCGTTGCCTACCTTTAATCGACGGAGAAGAGGATGCACAGAAAAAAAAAATTTTCCCTTCCCATGCATCCTCTCATCCGGAAAGTCCACTTCCACTTCCCATCCTTTTCTTATAAGAAAAAGGGTGGGAAGGGAAAAAGAATGAAGCCTCAGGGACGCACACTCATCAGACGAAACGCGGAACTACTTCCACTTCACGCCTGTCTTCTGTGTGGTCGTGGTATTTCACCGGGCGAGCCGGGCCGATTCGTGCGAAGATGTTAAAGCGGGCTCTACCACTGTTAACATGTTAAATATATTAAGTCTTAGTACAAAACACAAAAAAATCTCCAATAATATCGGTTCTTATCCCGCGCGGGGAGTCGCGGGCGATCATTAGTGAATAGTATAAAATAGGACTTATATCTACCACGGTTGAATAATCAATTCTAACAGATGTCTTGACCGATAAATTCTTACGTAGTAATTTACATTCAGTCACTTCCAGTAAATTTCCGCGGATGTACTATAATTTAACAAAGGAAAACAGGTTTATATGTACGATAAACATGAATTTTAAATACGATTCACAATACCTCAACAATCTTATATATATGTAGATGTTAAATTATTCAAACTTTCGTGAGACATTATACTAAACTGATATATAAACACGGCTAAACACTCACGTATATACGTCCGGTGGCGGCACCGACTAGTTTCGAGTCCATCGGGGGCCCTTCATCAGGATGAGTGGTACTGGTATTATTTCGCGGACGTGGCCCGTCGCCCACCGGACGTATATACGTGAGTGTTTAGCCGTGTTTATATATCAGTTTATGTTGATGTGATTTAATTGCATTTTCAAGAAAAATATTATAAACACTTCAGACAAAAAGACATATCGCTTTACTAAAACAAAAGAAGACGATATACGAAAACTTTTTTAAATACGCCTCCTACCTAATACTCGATTTAAGTAACACTTAGTAATTTTATGGAATAATGGATCTCTCTAACAAATACAGTAGAATAGAATTAAAAAAAAAACTTAGTGTAGCTTATGTGTTCTTCCAGACTATGTTCTACATCTGCAACAATTCGAGATCCGTTGAGCCTTTCTGGTGATACAATCTAACAAATCCATCCATTTTAATATACGTATTTATAATATTAGTAATATTAAAGAAGTACAGGATGTGTACAATTATTTTGAGTCGAAATACTGCGCTAATGCACACAAGAACACTGATTCTATCTGCATAAAATCAGTTTATTTTACATTTTTTTTTAATAAAAATTTATGACTTGTCGTCTTGCACGTGCTAAAGATCGTGACCTTTAAAGATTTATTCTTAGCGCTAATTGCGTTTCGCGTGATGGTGTTATTTGCGTTATTATTGCTATATAAGGTTAATGACAATTAACCGTGGTTTTCTGAGACGCCCCGTTTAAATATTGTTATCTCGACTTTGACAAAGACAAGGTTTATTCAGAAGATATGTTTCATACGGCGATATTGATCTTAGAAACCAACTGTTAGTCTTCTTAAATACCAATTCAAGGCACAATAACTTAACCCTTAATTCGATGGTGTCCAGTGTGACGAACAACTAATAAAAATAATAAAAAAAAAACAGTTTTTTTGCTACAAAATATTTCGTCGAATTAATGATTAATAGCTGATTGGTGACTATTACAAAAGATTTTCCTTAGTAAATTTTGATTTATTCCTTCTTTATATATGAAAAGGAAAAATAAATCTACTATAGGATCTATACATTTTTCCAGAATTAAAGGCAGCTTATGCGTTCTTCCAGACAGTATTAAATATATAATTTTTGTTTAAGTGTAATCTAAGTTATCTTATTAATATTAAAAATGAGAATGTTTAAAGGATGTTTGTTGGAAGATATCTCCTGAATGACTGAATGGATCTCGCTGAAATTTAGCATAGATGTAGAACATAGTCAGGAAGAACACATAGGGTATAGTTTGTTTCAAATTCCGCGACAACGGAGTCGCGGGCGACAGCTAACTAAAACAAATGA